CCTCCCTGTCCCTGCTGGCCACTCCTCTTTTGATGGAGCCCAGGATACCATTTGCCTTCCGAGCTGCAAGGGCACACAGCTGGCTCATATTAAGTTTTTCATCTATCGAGACCTTCAGGTCCTTCTCCACAGGGCTGCTCTCAAGGACCACTCCTTCCAGTCTGTAGAGATGCCTCGGATTCCTCCAGCCCAAGTGCAAAACTCCGCACTTTGCCGTGTTGAACCTCATCAGGTTCACCTCAGTTAAGTTCACAGTTAACTGCTTTCCAAGATTTATGGCAAGTCCTGACTGGAGGGACAGGAGCAAGCACAACAGGCACACCTCTATGCTGTGATTATTTGATGATACTCACAAGCCTGCCACCAAGGTTCTGATGAATCCTGCCCTTCTATTTTATGTACCTTATAATTCCAGAATAGTCTCTTTACAGTTGTTGAACAGATCCTGTGGTGCAAAAGTAAGGGATTGGAGGACTGCAATTAATTAACATTCAGTCCACATGGGACTTTATATCTTTCCTTCCAAGGCACCAAATAGGTGCAAATCTGGCTTATTTATCAAGAAAAAAAAAAAAAGTCAGTGATATGGAAATACTGCAGTTTTGAAGCGAGTCCCCAGAGAAAACTAATTATCATGATTCTGTCTACTCTGCACAGTACTCTGTCAGCCCAACCAAAAATATGCCTTATGCTGCTAAGCAAGCTATTTTTAGATGTGAAATATCATCCAGGTTAGAACTGGATTAGTAACAGCACATTGCCTCATCTCTGAGGCGGAAGCTCTGGGCTGAGCCACTGCAAAGTTCCCAGCTGGGAATCATGCCTTCAGTGAAACATAATGTGATATAGTAAATGGTTGTTTGTTGGCTGTGAATAGCCAAATATCTATAAAAGGAAAGTACTGTATGTTGAAACTACTACGTTTCTCTGGTGAAGTAATTTCAATTGCTTAGAGGCAATATCTCTAAGAAATTGGTTCAGAAAATAACAAAAAGAATACCAACAACAATGCAAATTTTTGCTTCAGAGGAACCATTTCTATTTTCACCCCACTGTTAGACTGCAAGATGCACTGAATTGTTTTTTAGTGCATTTGTTCACACTTACATGATGTTGTGAATGTAACATACAATATGATGTACACTATATTACTTGCCTTATGTAGTTAGCAACAATATTTTCTCAGCACCTCTTGCACCTACTGTGAACTCACAGTATCACAGGACTAGCAGATAGGAAACAGGCTGCTTCTCCTGTTGTTCTGGCCTGAATTCATGACTTCAAGAAAAGTAATTTAATGGCTCACTGCTTTACTTTTTGCATCTGCAAAACCTGAACAATAATTATTTCAAGAAATAAGCCTTTTGATTTCTTTGAGGCCTTCCAATAGAATATATATGCATAAATATATGCAATATTATCAGGTTGGACAGTACCCACCTCTTTCCCTTATACCTCAAATCTGTACAACTTTCAGGTACTACATACTCCAGCATACCACGATAAGTTTTCAGCTTTGAATAGACTAGGATATTCTTTTCTCTTAAGGGAAGTTTAGAAAAGGATAAAGATGACTGATTTCTAAGAACCTGCATGTTGTATTAGATGCAAGGAAGTCACTTGGATAGACCAACACAAGTTGGATTGACATGACGTTCTCCCAGTGAAGAACACTGTAGAAAACAGTGACATGCAGATGTGTAATAAAACCTAAAACCAGGACATAGCTAGAATTTTAGAGCATTAAGAACTACATTTATATTCTGCATTTGTAACACTGCATAATGGATAGACTGTCAGAATGCAACTGTTTGATACCAAAGCATGTATAACTGCATTACAAGTGAAATGAAAAAGGACTATACTTCATTCAGAACTATCACGGCTGAATGGGGAGAAAAGCAGATGTTATATAGTAAATGACCACAACACATGCCGTGATTGCTGAAATATACCACACACCAAGTAGTATAAAAGGAAGGAGGAAGTGAAAGCAGGTGGGAAACAACATCTTGCTTAGGCTCCTGATGGGTCTATCTGTCCTTTTTCTGACTTTGAACACCAAAAGAGGTCCTATTACAGCCACTGAAATTACAAAAACCAGCTGAGAAAAATCGAGGGTTTCATCTCTTGCTGAGCTATTGCCATGCAAGATCCTACTGAACTTCCTGGAAGTGAAACTGCATAGAGGCAGTGAAGATACAAAGTGACGGAAATTACAGTCCGTCAGTCACAACAGTGGTTATCTCTAATTCACTAGTTCAACAGTGTCAGCTACCTAACTCCTATTGCTGTCCATTACTTTAAACTAAACAGGATTTTTGGTATTTGGGAATATTCTGATTTTCTTTGGTAACATTTTGGCTTCTTAAAACCCAGATTGACAGGAAAAAGTAGAAAAAAATTGTCATGATGAAAGCACTCTTTACCTAGTTAAGTAATCGCTTTACAGCGGTTCTGTTTTTGTTTTTTGTTTTGTTTTTGGTTTTTATTTTTGTTTGTTTTGGTTTTTGGTTTTTTTTTTCAGAAAAATTATCAAATCATGACATTTTATTGTACAAATATTTTGGCAGATAAAGTAGTCTGGAAAATTTGCATTGCTTGGTCTGCACCTAACTATACACACAGGTGGATAATTTAATAGCAAAAAATCTCAGGTACTCATTTCCAGATTAGTACATGTTAGCAGATTTCTATTGCAACTTAGATATAACTGGAACAGGGAATAGTACATAAGGCACGTAATCCTAAAAGTTACTTTGGAGTCATGATGTTTTTCTACTTCATTTTTGATATTGAGAACATAGACACGTAAATAATTGCTAATATATAAACTTCTGCATGCTCTAACCTGCTTCAGTCACCCCATCAGCTACTTCATCAGGAAGGCAGAGCAAAAATAATGAGCCACTCAATCTTTTTTACCATTCAATTTTCTTGCTTAAGGAAGCAAGCAAACAAGAAAGCCCTTGTCATGGTTTTATGTTTTTTTGGTTTTCAGTATTCCACATCAAAACATCATGCACTGGAATTAAAGTGTTAATGCTCCAATTCCAGATATCTATTCCTATACATTACGGAAGTCATGGGATCTGACCCTTCCAGGTGGGGCGGTCTCTTACTGCCTGGCAGTGGGTGCTGGAGGGTGCTTTCCTAGCCGTTCCAAGCTTTTCAGGTTTGACTCTGTCTCAGGAGCTCTCTCTCTCCTACCTTATTTGATTTATTAGTCTCTATTTCAATTAGACTGCATTATATTGTGTTATCTTGCATTCCGATAGTTAGTAAAATAAGTTTTCCTCCATAGATTGTTGCCGCTGTTTTTTTCCTCCCTCCTTCCTTCCCATTTTGTGGGGCTGGGGGGGTGAGAGGGGGGGGGCAGGGGCCTACTACCCCATGTCACAGGGATAGATTCATCTAATTAACTCCGTGACAGCCCTTTTACATGTCTACACACACACAAACAAAAACAAACAGAAGATGATTTCAAATCCACATAGCCCCATATGTAGACAGTCAGAGTCACCATCCAACACAGAGCCAAATTCCTTAGCATAAAGCCATAATATAACACCAAAGAGTGGTATATTATGAAATTTATCAAAATAAATAGGCATGTCAAAAATCTTCATAGACATTAAGGAGCAGTGTTTTTTGTTATTTCTATCTTGCATATTTTCTTGAATGACAGTGACAGCAAACATGATTATACAGAATTATAGAATTGTTTGAGTTGGAAGGGACCCATAAAGGTCATCTAGTCCAGCTTCCCTGCTGTGAACAGGGACACCTATAGCTGGATCAGATTCCTCAGAGCATGGTCCAGCCTGACCTTGAACATCTTCAAGGATGGGGAATCCATCACATCTCTGGGCAACCTGTTACATATGTAATCAAGAATCTTACAGAAATAAAAATGAAAAGCCCTTTTATTACTAATTTACATTTATGACTAAGCTTACCTCAAGTGAAGAGTTTTGAAGCTTCCCAGTTAGGGCTTCTTTTTCTTTCTCTAGTTGCTTTATTTCACACTCAGATTTTCTTTTAAATTCCTCTAGCTGCATCTGGAGTTCCTTAAGTCCAGAAACAAAAAAGAAGACTACACAATTTACTCAAGATTTCCTTAGTACCTTTCTGCAACACTTTAAGAAGAGATGATTATAAGCAATAATATTTGTTGCCTAGAAGTAATAAACATCTACTGGTATGCCTTTTTTTTTTTTTTTTAAACTAAATTATGAAATGATCAGCATTTAAGTTTGATCTGACTTGTGTGAAGAGCTTGTCACATCATTTTAAGTATACCTTGTACAAACCCAGCCTCATAAAACAATACTGCATGTAACAGATAAAGTCCTTCTAGTAAGGCTTACAGTTGATCGTGCAACTATGTTCCTTGAAACACTGTATCTTAACACACAGATCTCTCACAGCCAGATAAATTAATTTACTCTCATAGATTCCCTTATGAGAAGTGGTACTGCATAAATGCATGAACTTCAGCAGTTTCATAAACAGAAATGAATTCTTCTGAAGAGCACTTAACACAATTCCCAATCTCAAGAATCGGGAAGGGACTACAGAACATAGCATTAAGTGACAGGACACGTCTTTCACGACTTCAGAACTCATCTGCAAGAGTTTTGATTATTCGCAAAGAGATCTTGAACTTGGAAAGGTACAGCAGCATTAAAACTGAGAAAAACAAAAAGCAACAATAGAGGTCTATAGAACACTTGGCCAGTCTGATTGTTCAGTTCTACAATCTGCTCTAATACATGTTTATTTCTTTTGTCTAATAAGATCCTGAGAAACACATCATACAAAATACAGTAGATGAAGAATAGATTTGGCCTTAATTTACACTCTAGTTTGCTACACTGAGGTGTGAGCATCACTGCACATTAAAGCACATGCTTAAAATTAAACACATTTTCCTACATTTTAATGCATTTCTGCCCCCATTTGTGTTCCTACTGCACAGAAACATTACAGACTGCAAATCTACAAAGGACTCATGCTGCTAGGTAAGATAACAGAATTTATCACAGTGAGCACTTCTCATGAAGGTGGAATTCTCTGAAGAATGTCTTAAGTCAATTGTTGCTAATGTGCACCGCTCAGGATACTTGTCTGAATCCACAAAGACAATCATTCTTTGTGACTTAACTTAAATAAGGTCATGCATACACACTTATGTTTTCATTTGACAGTGGTCATGTCACTAAGAACACCTGCATTCCAAATCCACTTACTAACACTTTTTAGAATTAGCTCCTCAGCCTAAACAATGCCAAATTTTGATTAAATCAAAGGATTTGAGTATTTCACAGCAGAGATCCATGGAAATTTAAGTCAGAAATTGGAATATACCCACAATGCATATTTCTTCGGGAGGGAACTCACATTTATCACTCCAACTGTCACATGAAAAGCATGTAATTTTAAGTGTTGCTAAGAAGGCAGTTTGTCACATCAAGGATAAAGTCACCTTCCTGCCTCTGGAGCTTTTTGCAGAAATACATCAGCTTTTTTCTTTTCCTCTCAGTAAGACCATAGCAAGAAAATCCTTGCATTTTATGATTCAAAATGCCTCCAGTGAGGATAAATCAAATGATGTCACTGTGACCAATAAGATTAAAAACAGATGAATTAGAGCATCTATAAATAGAACACTTCTACCTCCTGCTTTTTTCAGCTTGCTTGAAGTTTTAGATTAACTTGATTACCTTCATATGCTTCATTATGAATCTTCCAACCCATTTAACAGCCATTCCTTCAGACAAGTCTTTTCCTTATGGAACTGATAGTTGCCTTTACAATGTAAGTTCTTTGTGTCTTTTAATTCATACCTTCTTTTTAATTAGCTATGGCTTCCACTATTTATAAATCACATTGGTTATATAACTTGACAAAACTAAGGTAGAATTCTGGGGACCGTCATTTTGTAGGGAATACTCTATTTCAGTGGGTATTCTCTGTTGAAAAGTACTGTATTTTAGTAAACAATATTGAACTATAACCATTCAGGGTTGTATGACTCATCTTCAGTCTAGATCTGGTTGGTTTTTTTTTTGTTTTTTGTTTTTTTCTATTTCGCTTCAGCTTTGGGTGTGTGTCTCATTTTCAAGTATGGAGGCTTCCTCAAGGACAACTTCAGATCTTTGGAAAAGTACAGAGGGTGATTTGGCTTTTTGTTATGTTTCCAACAGCAATTCTAATTTTACACAGTGCTAGCATTAACAGACTTTCAGGTATTAAATATATATTTCTGTATCTATATATACATACACACACACAGAAGGTTTGTGTCTGGACAATCAACAGGGGAAAACATTGTACAGAGGGAATTCTCAGGATACAAGCAGTCCTCATTGTACTAACTATTTCTGTTTAGTTTTCCAGAAGAACAGACTCCGTTCTCTACTAAAAATAATAATTTTAAAAGTTTGCATTTCAATTTAACCTCAACAGAGAAAGTCTGACTTGTTTCCTTACACTTTTTAGTTACAGAAGTTGAATGCTATCCTGGTCTAGATCAATTTCACTTTAAGGATATCAACAGTTTCTTTGCTATCACTGAGCAACTCTTGAACTTGAAGTTATGACCATGAGTCAGCATTCCATTGAATGAGCCTGGAGGTCTAAGAATCCCACAAGACTGATTTCTATAGAATAACCCAAAAACAGAAAAAACATTGCAAGAAAAATGACATTGATTCAGTATATTTTTGCATGCTGTGCCTTTGAATGTTTAAGAGCAAACCACCTGATTAAGCTCTCACATGTGTTCAGAGCCTCTCTTATTTTGGCTTTGTTTGGCAGAAGTCATTTGCTGCAGTTGTACTATTTGATGTTTTTGTTCATCTACTTCATTTGCAGCTTTGCTCTGGGAATTCAATAGAGCTTCCCAACCTTCCACAGAAGAAACATTTGCATTTCAAATAGCATAACTAACTTGCAGAATTTCCAATGTGAATGACTAACAAGGGAAATAATTCAGAATGACATTAATGAGCATTTTACCTGCTTTTTGCAGGATCTCCTTCTGCTGAAGTATATTCCTCTCTTTGACTACACTTAGATCTTCCTCCACATTTTTTTGATCCCAGAATTTCCTACTGTATTCCCTTAAGCTACACTTCAAAATCCTAAAATGTGTATTGTGCTTTACTATATACATTCATTTTTTTGTTATCTGAAATAATCATTTTCTCTTTTGGTGCAGCTGCATTATAATGATCTTTCACCAAAAGAGCTTGTTCAAAATAATCTTTTTCTCTTCCATGCACTTAAATTATCTCTGCTGCCAGAATATTTGTATCATGGAGCCATTGGCATCATTGTAAGGTGAACACCCATCAAAGAGTTACCATCTAAAATATGCCTATAATTACTCTAAACTTGGAACAGGCCATAATTCCTTTAGTTTCCTGACAATTTGTATTAAAGGTTAATAAATGAGATTTCTGATGAAATTCATTTTTCCTTCGTCCTTGATTACAGTTGTTTCACAAATATACACACTGGCTAATAGTGATTATGTGAATAAAATGTGACAATTAAGTGAAGAATATTTATAAGATCTTAGCAGAGAGAAAAGTCCAGTAGAGAGACATGTTCAGATTTTTTTAATTTAATGTCTATACATTCCATTTGAAAATCTGCAGGTGGAGTATTTATGCTGTCTGAAAATGGAGTCACAAATATACTAAGAAAAACGCTAACTTTTTTGCAATCTTATCACAGTGGAAAGCACAGCCGCATATTTTCTGCTGCTCAAAGAACTGTGTTTAGCCAATGTATCTAAATCCCTAACAGTATTTGCCATCAGTGGAGTTAACAGCACACTGTTCCCACTCCATGTCCTGGTTTCAGCCCAGATAGGGTTAATAGCACACTGATGTTTGGTCACTGCTGAGAGATGAGTGCTTGCCAACCACTGGCCACTGCTACAGTGGCAAGGGGCAAGTGGCACGTGGGCATGGGATGGATGCACCTGCTTTGAAGATTCAAGGCAATGTTCTAAGCTGGTCATAATTCAGCCTTATTTCACAGTCTTAGAAGATCTGAAGTGTACATGGGCCGAGTGAGTATATGTCTATCAGAAAAGATTTCAGTTTTATCTAGCTGATACTAAATGTAAAAATCAAATCATCACAGACACTATTCGCTTAATTCCAGCTTCTACTGCATTCTAATTTTTATTCCTGAAACACTGTGTTTCTTACATTGTTAAGCAAAAAAATAAATCACACACCTAAATTCTCATGTTTCCATTGTTCATTACTCCTGAATGCTATTTACTAATTAATCATCTTAAGTCATTCTTTAAAACTCTCTGCACTATAACCTTCCATTTGTCCCAAGTCTCAAGCACTGCTCTAATACTTACAAAGCGCTTGACTCAAAATGAAACTTACATCCCTCCTTCCCCAAATTTTAAAGAATTATAATTTGCACTTTAATAGGCAGCGATAAGGATCACAGTCTTGAACTTTACCTGTATTCTTTCTTTCAGCTTCTGGGAATGTTTCTTCCTCTCATTTATCTTCTGGCTTTTCTCCTCTAGGTCTGCCTCCAGTTTCTTTACCTGCTGCATCCAAAAACCTTTCTCAGCCTCTGAGCAATTCCTTTGCTCCATTTCTCTTTGCTGATGATGATTCTTTGTTTCTGTCATAGATTGCTGTGTAGACTTTTTCAAAGACTCTCTTCCCCTCTCACAGGAAGCTTGCAGTTGATTTGTTCTTTGAGTATATTCTTTAATTGCTCCTTGGTTCTCACTCCTCAGATTTTCCATTTCATTTACTAGAACTCGTCCTTCCATGCTGAATTTTTCAGCTAAAATTTCTTCATTTAAATTTTCTCTCCTAGATAATTTCCATTCATTCAGTAGTCCATCACTCTCATTTAAATGCAGAAGTTTGTTTTCAAAGCCTGCATTGGTATCTATTGTATCTGTGGATAGGGCCACGTGAATGAGTTTTACTTCTGCTCTTGGTTCCTTCTCTTCCACCTGCTTCCTGCACAATGTTAACTCTGCCAAGGCTTCTTCCTTTAGTTTCCTGTGTTGTTCTACTGCAGTTTCAAGGGCTTGAATATGTTTTCTCAGCAACTGCTCTTCTTCAACTTTGCTTTTGTACTGGAGAATTGTTTCCTTCATCTCAGCAAGAATGTGCTGAACTTCTTCTTCATGAGCTTCTTTCAGAGCCTGTATACTATCTTCATGTTCATCATTCTTAGTGTTCAGGGCATATATCACCTATACATGAAGAAGAGCAATAGGAGATAATAGAATCTAGTAAACAACAGTGTTATAAATTCAGTTGCTATATTTACCAAAAGAACTACACCACTATTAAATATTTTTTGCCTTTTTTTCCCACTAGCAACAGAAAAGATAATTACAAACTACAAATCCTTACTGAGAAAGAAGACAATACTGTGAGATTTTTTTTTTTTTACAGATTTTTTTTTTTTTTTTTTTAAGAGAATGCTTTTTTTTCCTCTTGGCAAGTTATTACCTCATACATCAGGTTTAATCTTTCATACAGAGCCCCTCCTCAAGCTAACTGACTCACATTAGTAGTTCAATTCATCTCACCTTCATTCCAGCAGCACCTTCTGCCACACTGCCTTTAGCATTATCAAGTGCTGAGCACCTACAGTGGCAGAAGTCCAGAGCCTGTGTTGTATAAAGCCTGAATGTTTTTCCTGGATTACTGAATTTGCTTGGATGTGTTTAACCATTTTTTTGTGCTGTTTGTACACTGAATAACTTATTCCATTTCAGTTATCCATAAATGAAAACAAACAAATATATCTTGTGCAAAGTTAACTTCCTCTTTGGCAATAACGAAATAAATCACAGAATCACAGGGGTTGGAAGGGACCTCAAGAGATCATTGAGTCCAAACTCACTGCTAAAGCAGGCACCTTGCAATAGGTTGTACAGGTCTTGAATATCTCCATAGAAGACTTCACAACCTCTCTTGGCAATCTGTTCCAGTGCTGTCACCCTTACCACAAAGAAGTACTTCTGCGTGTTTGCACAGAACATCCTATGTCAGGTTTCATGCCGTTACTCCTTGTCCTATCGTTACACACCACATAGAAGAGCCTGGCTCATCCATTTGTTTCCCATCTCCCTTCAGATATTTATAAACATTAAATCAGATCCTCCACAATCTTCTTTTCTTGAGATTACTCAGTCTTTCCTCATGTGGGAGATGCTCCAGGCTCTTTAACATCTTTGTGGCCCTCCACTGGATTCCTAGGAGATTCCTGTCTTTTTTGAACTGGGGAGCCCAGAACTGGACACAAATATAGGAGCTGTGAAGAGTCACAAATGCAAAACATGGTCTGGATACATTTCTAGATAAACATGTGGCAAAAGACAGTAATGACATCATATTCTAGAATACAAGCAGAGAAGAACTCATAGCCTACATTTAAATATATGTATTGTTTGACCTTAGATTACATGTTGTAAATATTTCTGTTATTTTGATAATTTTTTTCTATGAAACAGAAATAGTTGCAGGATACTAAGCAGAATCCTTCTCACTGCAAATGGTTACTGAAATCCCACTACAAACTTTTTTTTAAACCTCCTCAGGAAACAGACTTAACACTACAAGGAAAATGTTAATTTTGCCTGTGGCTTTAGAATGACCAGTAATTATCTCAGGCAACTCTTCTAACTAACTAGGTCAGAAATGAGTGATCACATCTCTGTATTTGATTCCAACAGCAAAACAAAAGATAAGCATTAGAACACCCAGCCTTTGTGATTTAAAAACTTCTAGCCTTAGCAATGAATTTATCTAGTAAATCCACCTGTCTTGTATTATGTCATATTTGGTCTGACAGTAGAATTTGGATTCCTCCAAAGTCTGACTTAATTGCCAAAGTTCCTCAAATTCCTCTGAGCATTACTACAAATTCGAGACATTCTACATTAATGGTTATCACCAACGCCTTAAATGAGTCATCTAAAAGATCTGGGAGAAACTCATCTCCCTGCTCTCTATCAGTTATTCCTATCCATCTGTTCAGTAGTGGCTAGAATCACAAGGAAGAATTCTCACTTGAAAATTCATGGCTTTCAATTTAATATTCAGGCTTGACTGTTGAAACCAATTCTTCAGTATCTTAACCTTCTTAAAAGATTTAATTTTCAGAGGGCTGCTGGCATGTACTTTCTGAAATTTAAGCCCCTCATAAATGCCTTTCACTCCCTACTGAATATAGCAACTGCATTCCTATTCCAGCCACCTCATTTAAGAGACTAGAGTTATGTGTAGATGAATCTGGGAGTTTATGTGCATTCTGCTGTAAGGAAAAATATTGAAAAATTATTTCAACACCTGCACACTGTAGTGTACACACTGCTGACTAATGTGGTACAAGACTCTCAACAGCTGTGTTGATAAACAGTTCTTTAAAAGTATCTCTAAAATGGATTGGTTAGAGAGCATAGAGAATTGCCTTCAAATGAAAGGAGCACTAGTTCACTCCATGAGTAACCAGCTTAATAGCAATGGCAGCCAGTTCTCTAAATGCATTTGGGTATTGTACTGATTTTACAACAACTGAGTTATATGACAGGTTGGTAAAAACACTATTACACAGTATACACCACCAGAGCATTATCTGCACAGTGAATGTGTCTAATTAGCCCTATTTTATTCTCCTAATGATGTAAATCTAAATGGCATTTTATTTCCCTTCTGCTTTTCTTTATGCTGCAATAAAATAGCAAAAGATAAAATAATCAGCTCTACCTTATTAACGAAGACAAAGGTAAAGTATTCAAACTCAAAAAGACATCTGTATTCCTACAGTAGCATTAACAAATACTATTATTACAGTAGCTTAACTACCGTAATTAAAGAAACCGGTTCTAGCAGGTTGCCTTACTAGCTGAATAAGAATTGAGACAGTTTGGTATGGAAAATAAGGATGATAAGAAGCAGATAAAGGATTGCAGAAGGTCATCTTTTGGGCCCAAGCTAGTATACAAATCTTTCCTGACTGTGACAGCCAGGAAAACAAAAGAAACAGAAGGAGTCTGGATCCTAATGCCATAAGTTAACTAATGAGAAAAGGCCCTGGAGAGGGTGCCAAGCAGAGGAACTCCTGGCAGCACCTCAAACAAAACTGGGAAGGAGACAAGTTTCAATTGCTAACTAGCTTGTTAATCTCAATGAGGCATCATCTCCTGTTCAGTAGTAGCAGTAGTATCTTTTTTTCTTCTCACTAGCAAAAGAAATTGTTTCACTGAACTCTTATTTTGTATATTTCCCAAGGAGATTACAGGATAATGAGATATAAAAACATATCAGCCTTTAAAGGGTCTCTTTTAAAACAGAGAAATTATTACAGGAAATTATATTCTTGTTTGTTCTAATGCAGAAGAATGAATGTTTCTTAATTAAGGCACAGAGCAAGGCTATGATTAGCCACAGCGCTGCTGATCCAATTTCAGACTGGCTCACCTGTGCTGATTTCAGCTGAATGACACTGTTGTAACATTGCTAGGGACCTCATGAACCTGAACCTCAAATCTCTTCCTCTGTTTCTCTGTGTCTTCCTGAAAGCACGGGAATCATTTCATGCACCTAAATAATTGACAGCAACTACTGATAAGATTATCCGTTTGTGTATTTTTATGAAAGAAGCCTTAAAAATATTGGCACCAAGAATTCAGAAGGGTTTCAGAGCTTAGAATTATAAGATTAATTTTAAAATCACAAAGAATTTTTGCTTACAGTTTTTGTTGTAATTTCCTTGGGATTTTTCAGTCTTTCAAGTGTGACTTCAGAACTTTAGAACACAAGCTAAGGAAATATATTTTGTTCTGAAGTGAAAGCTGAGCCCCAAATGAAATACCTTTGTTTTCTAAAAGTGGAGCTGCAGGGAGAAATACCAAGAATTTCTTCAGTAAGTTTTCAGATTACATAGCTTACTATCATCACATTCAAGAGAAAAAATATGCTATAAAATGCAATTATTTTCATAAGAAATTCATGGCTTATTTATCCACTCAATGTGATAGTACATAAAAATCTACTTGAATCAACACAGACCATATGAGGTTGATTTTCACTTGTAAAACCCAATAAAAATACCTTATTTCAAGCTTTTAATTGTCAGCAAGTTAAAAATAATTTTCCAAAGTTTCCCACCAAACTTCTCTCCATCCTTGCGTAATAGGCACAGCTAACAATTTAACAAAGGCAGAGATGCAAAGAGCATAGGGCCAGCTTACCTTCAGTGTGCTTTATAAGCTCAAAGTCAGAGCTGGGAATCCTGTTCATGGTGCCAACATGTATATTTGATGTTCCACACAGTGGAATATCAAATATAGAAAACCTTAGTTTAGTGGCCTACGTATTGCACTTGATCTATCTGCAATTGAATATGAAATTAGCCTCGTCTAAATCTCACTGCAGAGACATCCAGCTTTCCCTCATTCTTACTTTGTAGTTTCTAAAAGATAAACAGAATAATTACCAGGCAACTTCAGAAGGAGGAAAGTAAAACTATATTGCAAGAATGTTTCCAAAAACAGATCAGTTACTCTAAATGGCACCAATGCCATGACCCAACAATGGCAACAAGGTTCTATAGAACCACAAAGTTTAATTTCAGAAAACAATTTTTCTGCTGGGAAACTTATACTTGGTCTGTGATTCCGTGATTGGTCCACAATTTGCCTGTTTCACAGAATGGCCCAGGTTAGAATGGACCTCAAGGACCATGAACCTCCAACATCTCCCCCGACACAGGCAGGGCCACCAACCTCCACATTTAATACCAGACCAGGTTGCCCAGGGTCCCATCCAACCTGTCCTTGAAAACCTCCAGGGAAAGGACATCCATTTATTACTGTTCCTTCCATTTTGACATGGAACCCTAAGAAACAGACGACTACCTTAAAGCACAGCTACCACAGAAGGTCCAAGGCAGTCACCCGTAATTACTGCAAGAAAATAATAAGAAGGAAGTTTCCTATACAAGAGATTGGATTAATCTCCCCTAACATCACTCATTCCATCATTACACATCTGATCCAGGTTAATCAGTGGAGAAAGACAGGTGCCTCCAAAAGGCAACATTCCTGTTTCCAGTGCAGTTGTCTAGAACAGATAATGTAAGTGAAATGAATTCTTCCTGGTGTTTGACTGGTTTTCCTGTTTTTTTGTTTCATTTTCATTCTGCATTCCCAGATTCCCAACTTTTTCCTCTCTGTAGAGT